TTAATAAAAGTTAACATTTTGATTGTCTTTAGATTATTTTTTTTTAAATGTCACTTGATTGTTTAAATAATTTCAGAAATATAAATTTAGAAGTATAACTATAGTTTTTTAAAAACAAGGATTTTAAATATTTTTTGTTAAATATGTTAATTATTACAGTACCTGCAACCACTGAAATTTGGCGTTCAAATAGTTATTTATCCATAATACATAAAAATATCAATGTAAATAAGTACTATATTAGTTCTAACAATAAGTATTAAACCGCAGCTAAATCCCTAGTGCATTGGTGTTGAACCAGCGGTGATTATCACAACTTATTCACTGTGACGAATCACCACTCAATCACTGTAATACAAAGTTTACAAAACCACCGTTGAATAACTACTTAATCACCACTTTTGATAAATATTGAATCACTATTAAATCACCAGTGATGTGCGCATGGGTATTAAAAGTATTTTTTTTTTAGACGAAAAAAGTTGGCGTTATACTTTCAGAATCTTGGGGTTTTTTTCGTCTCGGTTTTCGGTCCATACGAGACATTTTTTTTTCGAGACGAGATCTCGTAGGACACCGTGATAAAACCGAAATTTTTTCAAAAATGTAAAAACTATGAAAATAAACTGAAATTTTCAGAAAAATTTGTGTTTTATAATATTTTTTATTATGATTATATTGTGCTTTATAATTTTTTATTATGATTATATTAATGAACCATAAGTTTTCTACATTTATTAAACTAAAGTTGACTCTTGAAAAAACTTTTCAAAAGACTTAAGTCATTCAAAGTTGCAGCTGTCATTCTCTACCATTTCTTACTACGGTGGTTGCTTAAAATTAAAAAATTTTGGTCACATCGAATTGATGTTGGCTTGATTAATTTCAACGCATTTTCTAACATGCATAATTTTTCTGATTTGAATCCAGTCGTAACGTAGCTGTTCAATTCATCAGCAGTTAAATCATTAGGATCAGTGACTTGGATGTGTTGTTGGGCATTGGACTCTCTTTTCTTTATAGGTGGGTCCTTGAGCTTTGGAACAAAGTTTGAAGTTGTTCGACGTTTTAAGAAAGCGAGACAACGTAACTTAGGATCGTTGGGAGTCTGTTCGCCAGTCTGATGAGCTTCAGATGCAATTTCCACTACATCATCACTGTCATCATTACTGGATGGAGTGAAAAAATGTTTAAGCCAGAGCTTTTCGCTTCTTCATTTCTTCATTTGATGAGAATGAGAATGGGGACACTTTCGGTCCTTCAAGAATTCCTAGATTGTTGAGAAATTTGAGCAGACTAACAGCTAAGATCAGACGTCTTTTAAGAATCTCTTTTTGAATTTCTTCAACTAAACGATCACAAATAAAACTTTTCTTTGTTCGCAGTTCCTCTAACAAAAATTATAATCGCTATATTCAAGTTAACATCATTGCCACTCATGGCATCTATAGCCATTTTACATGGTTACAGAGTTAATTCAGAAATGCTTGTCTCTAAATAATCAGTGCATTGAAAATGTTGAAAACTTTCAAAGCAATGATCCCAGCTATAAAAAAACTCTTAAATCATTTAGACATGATTGGCCTGATTATTTAGAGACAAGAGACTTAAATTAAGTTCTTTGACTAATTTAAGTTTTTTGATGATTGGTCTGATTATTTAGAGACAAAAGACTCTTTGACTAATTTAAGTTTATAAACTTTTTTACAATAGTTCAAACACCTTCGAGAGTTTTGGTACTAGACAATGCAGGATCGTGCATTGTCTAGTACCAAAACTCTCATCAATGAAAAATTCTTCCTCATCTTCTAATTCTCAATCTATTAGATGCTAGCTTAGCAACAATTTTGTCAGTCAATGTTAGTTTCACATTAAAAAACGAGACAATCCTTTTTTAGCAAGAATGATGATGCGTTTATTTTTTGGATTTGTCAGCAGAAGGAACATGGCAATGTTGATGGAACTTCCATAAATGAGCGTGAATTTTTTTTGTATTTTAGTCTGTTCGTTTGATGAATTTTTCCTTCGCACCTTCAGGACACAATGTGCATTCAACGTGAAACTTGTCATTTTTCAAAACTAGACAGTAGTTTTGCCATTTCAAATAAGTTTTACTCGCAATTTTTTCGATTTCAATATTTAAATCTGTTTTTTTTTAAATTTTAAAAATCATTATAGTTGCAGTTGCTATAACAAATGTCATAAATTAAAAATAGCTTTTTTATGAATAAATTTAATAAGCACTTACCTTTTAGTTAAAACAGTTTTTTTAAGCGACAAATCATATTATCATTAGAATCATTAATGAGAAAATATTGCACTGCAATTGCAACTTATTCGATTTTTAAAAACATTAAAACTGAGAATAATTAAATGCAATAATCTTCAAAAATATAAATCTTCAAAATCATAATTTTTTCCTTCGGTAAAATACGTGAAACATAGTTCCTTGCGAGAAAATTTATACTGAGGATTCTTGTTTACTCAAAAACGTTTTGACTCTTCTCTCGTTAAAAAACGAAAGCTTAAAATTTGAAGGTTTTCAATAATTTTCAGTAATCTCGGTTTTTATATTTTTACATTAATTTCTCGGTATTCCTAGACCGAGATTCTGAGATAGAAAAATGACCAAAGTTTCCGAGACCGAGATGTCCGAGGCGAGCGAAATCTGAAAATGTAGGTTGAGGTAATTGAATGTTGACATCAGTTTATATGTAAAAACTCACGTACTCTTGGTCCGTTAAAGCGGTTTACGATGCTCTTTAGTGAAATGAACTTGTTTTTCCAGACTTTGGTATGCTCTATATTGCAGTTAGCCAGAGGACGATAAACCTCGATTACAGAAAGATATAAAATTCTTAATTTGAAAAAAAAGTTTGATTG